TGTGTGCGTGGCTGTGTGCGTGGCTGTGTGCGTGGCTGTGTGCGTGGCTGTGTGCGTGGCTGTGTGCGTGGCTGTGCGCGTGGCTGTGTGCGTGGCTGTGTGCGTGGCTGTGTGCGTTTGAGGGCCCGTTCACATTAGTACAGTGCGTTAATCGAACAGTCCTGTGCACTGTACCACACAAATCGCACCTACTATGCGTTCTGGTGCAGGTGCGTTGCCATTCAAATAGCCCCCCAAACGCACCTCCCACACACAGTTCAATCACCCGAACCGGAAGGCGCGGTACCGCAAAGCCGTGCGTTCCATCGCAGTGCGACTTGGGTCGCGACCTAATGACCAAGGACAAATGTGGGTCCTGAAATTACACAGGTTGAAAACCGCTGCTCTAGATGGATACAGGTCCCAAAATGGGTGCTAGGACAAAACAGGTCCAGATTAGAAACACCAGCCGGCTTACAAAAGGAGGCCCCACAGCCTTGAAAACCACCCAACCTTCTAAGAACAAGCGAACCAAAATACTCTGCCAATACAAGTTTATCTGGCCAGGCATCCAATTCTGATAGGAGAGATGTTCCAGAGAAAATTCTGCATTAGGAAATGCACAACCCAGGGGTTAGATCACACAAAATGAATGTAACTGAATGGGTAGGGTTTATGGGAGGCTCCTCCACAAGGGTAGGCAGGAAATCGAAGAGGGACATTAGCCCCGGTTGGGTTAGATGTGGCTACTGGATAAAACGGAGGATGAAGCGAATATATCCCCTCATATAGGTGCCGCTGGGGCACTCCACAAGATCCTGCTGAAGAACTGTCCTGCTTGTCTGAGACCTCAAGCTATAGGTCTTAAAAAGCTACTGATTCCCCAGACCCAGCAAAACATAAATAGCCATGAAACCAGGGGCAGGAATCTTGGCAAGGCTGCTAAGAGCATTCACCTGATTAAGGGCAGAACAAGGGATGGCATCAAAAGAACCTTCCTCAAGAGGCTGCAGATCAGCCAAGGAAGCAGTATCTATACCTAGGTGTTCAGGTCCGATAAAATAATCAGGACACATTCTGTTCCTGTCAAACAGATACCTGCAGCAGGAGACTAAGGTGCTCCACCTGCTGACAATCCAGGGAGACAACCTGCTGGATGGTGTCCAACAGTTTGAACCTACTCAAGGTGGGAATTATCCAACGTATCTAACCCGTTCTTTTATTCTTTGGCAGATCAAGGTCACAGCCAATACAGGACAGAGGGCAGAACCTTCCTTTACCTAGTAATTTTCTTGTTAGGGTGGGTCACTGGTGGACCCAGCGGTGTATTTAAGTTTTGTGCTGCCCTAGGCAAGGCAAGCATCTGCCACCCCCCAGGACTGACTCACCGTAAATCAACGCCGCCCGCCGTCCACTCTCCAGACCGGCGTCCGCGTCATTCCGTCAGTGCCGCTCTCAGCGAATCTGCCGCTCCAGGCAAACACCTTGTTTGCCTCGCGGCAGATACGCCCCTGGGTGGACCCACAGCCGGTTTAGACCGCTGTTTAATAAAGGCCCCTCAAAGGGAAACCGTTCCAACACACTCTCAGGTGGGGCTCAGGACCATTCAGGGTGCTTCAAGTCCATAGAGGAATGCCTTGAATAGTCTGCTCTGGAAAACCCAAAGCTGGAGAGAGCAGGCTGATCCTCCAAGTGCAGAGAGTGCATACTGCATCAATAAGGCATGGCCTCTTGCAACTTTCAGGTGACCCAACGGACTGACCCACAATTATTTTGTGTCCAATCCTCCTGCAGTAAAACATGACAGTATATGATCTATGTCACTCAGTAGGTGGGAAAAAAAAAAGAACCTACATGTGTGTTTATCTGTTTAGCAAGTGTAGTTGACCCCAGGACATCTTCCTGTACAACAATTACCTTGTATCCCTGGATGTCTCCATTCTGTGATTCCAGAGGAGGTGGGTCCCATGTCACATCCAGCTGTACCGCTGTGACAGTCTGTATGGCAACATTCTGCGGTGCAGCTGTGGGCACTGAAGAACAAAACAGATAACCTCATTTAGCTACTGTGTGTATATAACAGCAACATATTCCACAATACGTACAAAGAACATTGTATTCCGATCAGTCCCCGCCCACGAGGAGCTTACATTCTAATGTCCCTGCAATGCCAATACAATGGGTGACTGTGCAGAGAGAACGTCTGGCATCAATGTTACCAAGTTTTGCTTTTCTCCATAGGAACTGCAACTTATTGCTAGTGGCAGGTCTATGTTATACATCAATCATATAAAACCTGGCACCCCCTCTTTTAGATTGTAAGCCCTCATGGGCAGGGCCCTCCTTACCATCTTGTCTTGATTTGTATTGTGATTGTAATGTCTTCCTTATATTGTAAAGCGCCGCGCAGACTGTTGGCGCTCTATAAATCCCGTATAATAATAATAATAATCCCCTCCAACTTGAATAGGCCGTGTTTGTAACCTTCGGCCACTAGATGGCGCTGTGTGTATAACGAGTATATAATCTTCAGCACCACTAGTAACAGGGATGCTAAGGATGCCAGTTTACATAATCTGTTAAAATTCTCCTGCTGTGGGACTTTTGCAACCGCAAATATCGAGGTTGTCAGACTGCCTGGCAAACTCGCCTGCAAATTCAAGACAAATGTTTCTTTATCTCTCTCTCTAATATTGTACCACAGGGATAGGCAACACACCCCAGCTGTTGTTGAACTACAAGTCCCATGAGGCATTGCCAGACTGACAAGCCACAGGCATGACTCGCAGAGGCATGATGGGATTTGTAGTTTCACCACAGCTGGAGAGGCAAGTTGACCACCCCATGTTGTTCCATGTTGGCCATCAAATCAATTTAGAAAGTCTGAAGTTTAAGTTATACCTTTTATTGGCTAAGTCAAGTTACTGAAGTCGCAAGCTTTGAGATCACCGGATCACTTAGATCCCTTCCTTTATGCCTGAGAAAGGGATCTAAGGGATGCTGAAAGCCTCCATCTTTCTTAAACTCGAGCCAGCCGATGGAAGGTATAACTTAAACTACAAACTTGATACGTTTGTAGAACTTAAGAGTCGTGACATGTGATCACAAACAATCTAATTAGCGGGTGAATGCTGCGGCACACGGAAAGGACCTACACTTTGTTATAGACGCTGACCCTGCTGGTAACCGAACGCAGAATTCCAGTGCCGCAAGGCCATGACAATACCCAATGTGCGTTTTGTTGGTGTATGCCAATCCCACACAAGGACATTCGGGGCACAGCGCAACACATGACAGCACTGTCCATAAAGAATGTCGGCGTGTGTTCACGGTTCCTATGAATGTGCACACAATATAAATACATTGTAAATGACTTGTAACACGGATTGGAAAGAGCAAGGCTGCACAGCGCAGAAGTTGGCTCCACATTGTCTATCGGCCAATGTACTTTTACTATATACTGTACTACCTTGGCCCGCATAGTGACCGGAATGTTCCCAGACAGCTGTCGCTGTAAAGTCAAGATCAGTTCTGAATACACTGAATACAATGTACATGGCGGTATAACACAATATGGAATGCCGGGCCGCATACCTACAATGCCAAACACAAGACGTGTATCTAAACCTCGGTTTTTCACCTTAGCGGTGGGACAAGTTTTTCTGCGTGTCGGCTGGTGAGTGCGCCGGGAAAACTTTTTGCTGTATACCTGCAATGGTCATGTTATAATAGCTATTAGGTTACCAACTGCAATACAACATACACTGAGTGGCCGGATTATTATGACCCCCCCCATCAGTACTTGGTTGGGCCGCCTGGTGACTCCCCGAGATGGTGAAAGGTGATATTTTACATTTACTTTTCCTGTAGAAGTGAAAGGGACAGTCAGGCGTGGTCACCCTGTGTGCAGGTAGTCTTAGATGGACTTTGAGATTTAAACTCAGGCGTTAAATAATAAAAAAGTTCCCCATGGTCCCTGTGTGTGTTGTAAAGTAGTCACCGCTCCAAGCTCCGCCCCCCGGGATGGACTACAATCTCATGTTTCATTTACTTATTTGTATTGAGATTGTCCCCTATGTATTAGCACTCTGGTGATGACAGGTTCTCTTTAAGGTGACATTAGATCCCCTAATGTCACCTTTGCAGCCCACTGAAGCTGATCACGCGCAGATCGTATTTGATCAGCTTCTTCCCATGTCTTGGAGACCCCTGATGTCTCCATGAAGAGGACCTGTCACATATTTTGCTATCACATAAGGGGGTTTTCTAACCCCCCTATGTGATAGCAATAAAGTTTCCCCCCCAAAAAATGTAAAGTTACAAATAAAAAAGAATTACATTTTTTTTTAAAGTCCCCCCCAAGTTACCGCTCCGGGTGTCACCCAACCTCGGGACGCCCCTGGTGGCAGTGATAGGGTTAAAGCCTAACTCCAGCTTTTTAAGCAGTTCCATTAACAGGTTTTTTTGGGGGGAAGAAAATTTAAACCATATAAAAAAAAGATCGTAGCTCCCCTGTCAGTGTTATACGGTTTGTCCCAACCGCTGTAGCCGTCACTTTTGCTGGACCTGCTTGGCCTGTGACAGGAAGTGGAAAAGCGACAGATCTACTGGCAGGATCAACAGGAAATATATCATGTGCACATTAATATTATAATGTAATATATATATATATAAAACTCACCTGCTTCTCCCACAAACACCTCTT